ATAAGCCAATAAGGGCCCCGGGAGGGCTCCAAGAAGTCCCCAAGAGGGCCCTAAGAGTGGCCCAGAGAGACCCCAAGAAGGCCCCCAAAGCAGCCCCTTCCGAAACATCGAATATGAATATTGTTCGGTTGCTCTTCCCGCCCCCATCCGAAAGAAAACATATTTGTCGGTTGTTTTTCCCTCTTGCTGCCGTTTCGGGCTCTTTTAGGGCCCCTTGTAGGACGCCAGTCCACTGGACCCACCAGCACCCCTCGAAAGTGGCGACAGTTTCGCAGATCGCAGCCCCCCCCCAGGGATGGCGAGGTCCAATCTGAGCCCCCATAGGACGTCACTCTGCTGGGCCCCCCTGCAGCCCTCGAACGTTGGCCCTTCTAGGGCTCATTTGGGCGCCAAGAAAAGCCAATAAGGGCCCCGGGAGGGCTCCAAGAAGGCCCCAAGAGGGCCCTAAGAGTGGCCCAAAGAGACACCAAGAAGGCCCCCAAAGCGCACCCCCTAAGGATTTGTTTCTGGATTCCTATGGATTTGCAAATATTCCTAAGGATTCCTGACGGAATCCGGAGGAGTCCTGATCCTAAGGATCCTAAGGGATCCCAAGGACCCTAAGGAATCCTAAGGATCCTAAGGGGTCCTAAGGAATCATAAGGAACCCTAAGAAATCCTAAGGAATGAAAAGGACTTCTGAAGAATAAATAAGTACTTCTGAAGAAGAAAGAAGTACTTCTGAATAAGAAATAAGTACTTCTGAAGATCCCATGTCTGTAATTGGTCCCATGTATGGTTGCAATTCGCTCCGAACGGTTGGAATTGGGACCAGTCGGTTGTAATTCGTCCCATTTCGAGGGGAGGGGCGGGGGGAGGAGGAGGGAGGGGGGTTTAGGGAGAGAGGGAGGAGGGGGAGGGGAGAGAGGCAGGCCGGAGAAACGCGAGGAACCACAACCACAGATGGCCCCTCCTCCTCCTCCTCCTCCTCCTCCTCCTCCTCGTCCGCCTCCTCGCGATCCGTCTGGCCCCTATGGACCGCCAGGCATAGGAGAAAACCGAAACCCCGACACAAACTGAATCCATAGTTTCTCTGATTGGATTCTCATCCGAATCTTAAGGGGAATGCTTCCAGATATGCTCCTACACATCGCTGTTAGGTTGCTTTGCCGGGGTAATTCTGGACTTGGCTGTGGGGCGTGGTGTAGGTCGTCGATGTCCACGACTTGCTGCTTGTCCCTGCACCTGCGCCTCGTCGAGAGCGTGGGTTGCCCGGATCGTCCCGAGAGGTCGCAGGGGGCACGAGTTATGACCGGACGGTGCGAGGCGTTGAAGAGGGGTCGCGCACGAAGGGGGATGCATATCATGGCCAGGGTCATATGCCCTCCCCCATGGCGCGGCCCCTCCTCGCTGGACACGCCCCTCTCTGCCTTCCGTCGTCCGCCTACCACGCCCCGGGCCATGCTGCGCCCCTTCCCTTTTCCTTCGTGGCCCCCTCTTGCGGCGCAGCCGCGAAGTCTCCGACGGATTGGGCTTTTCGGCTCTCAGCTTCGGGTCCTGAAGCTGGCAAGAGTGGGTCCAGGACGAGGAGCTGCCCCCACGGAACAGGTCGGGACTCTTCTGGGGCCGCGGATGGAAACAACAGCACGTCGTCAAAGGCGGCCTCGAGTCGGCAGGCACGGGACGATGCGCGCTGTCGGAGTGCCGCGACCGCTCGAGGTTGAGCGCTCCACGGGGTGTCAGGAACCAGCGCGCGGGTCGTCGTGACACGAGCCTGCCGTACTGGTACCTGTGCTCGTCGCAGGGGCTGGGATCGCCTCGAAATCCTGGTCAGAAAACGCCCCGGGACAGGTCTTGGGAGCTGCGGTATCGGCATGTTTTGTTCTTTCAAGATCTCCGGCACATTGATCGTCGATCCCAATGCTTTTCCCCAATGTCGGCCCCTGGGGTGGACTTTTGGGTCACGGGGTCATGACCATCATAGGTAAATCTGAAACGAAAAACTGCCCCCAGGAGGTGCGGGTCATGACTTGTGGGGCCCGCGGGTTGAGCAAAATACAATCAGCCCGTCGGAGGAGGTCTGGGAGGGGGTGGGGCAATGTTTTGTTTGTTTGAGATTTTCGTGAGTTCCTGCAGGCGTTCGCTGCAACGTCTGAGCGCGGTCTGGGAACCATCCAGGATGTAGGTCAGCAGGGGCAAAAGACACAGGCACAAGTCATCGTCGGTCCCCAGGAAAATATGGGAAAATATGGGACGTGAGGGGGAAGACGAACATTCAGAACATATAAACAAAATGTTGGGAACTTTGGGATTTGTGTTTATTCATCTGTGTGTCCCTGGGCGCCTTAAGCAGGATGCATCATCCGGGAATCCGTTTCGAGAGAATGTTTGCCTGGGTGTGGCGCTCCACCCCCTTGTGCGTGCCTCCCAGGTGCTGAACCGGCGGCTGGAGTCGCTCAGGTGTGCCGGGGCTCCGCTGGGTGTCCACGTGCTGCGCGTCGGATATGCCTTCGCCACCGATGCTGCAGTAGACACTTCCGACCCAGGCTTCGCATAAGCCCTTCCAAGCATTTGTTTTGCTATGTGAGGCGCTCCTTACAAGACGACTGCCCCATGGACCTGTCATTTAGGCGAAGACCCACTTTCAATGATCCGCATTCCATCCTTGCAGCAGTCAGAAATTGAAATATGTAGGATCAGAGAGTTCAATTACGTGTCCAGCGAGAACCCTGATTCGAAAATTAACCGCCCTCTATTTGTCTAGCTGTTCCGCATGTTTCAAGCTGTGGTTTTGGGAACCCGATGAAGTCTGAAGCGATAGCGTCACTCTGCAAGAGGACCGCGCTTAATCCTGGGAGTAACAATGATGCAATGTTCAACTTCTGCGCATACATGCGAACGAAGTGTAAGGCAATAACACAACTCCTACAAGTAGCTGCCCTCCATCAGTAACATTGATTCAACCATTCTGAGTTTCATGTGAGCGGCGCTATGACAGGTATTCCGTGTATGACATCGCTTGCCGTCCCTCCGTGTATGTCATGAATACGTGCAGGAAAAGAATGCGCTGCGCTAAGGCGAGAGTCACGCTCTGAAGAGCGTTCGCCCCCCTACTTCGAGTATTATGCAAGACGAACGCGCGTGGCGCTAACGCGAGAGCCTTGTTATCGAATCGAATATCCTTGCTGCAAGTTGTCAGACGACTGTGCGCGTATCTGCAGCGATACTCACATTTTGATAACGACCTGCCCTCCATCCGTACTGTTGAGAACGTTGAGTTTCAGGGCCACATGCGGCGAAGGCGAATCAGGCGACACGTCCGGCCCTCCCAGCCGACACGTCTGGTGTTGCAGCGAGGAGGGGCTGTATGGAAGAGGGGCGGGAAAGGAGGACGAGGATAAGCTTGGGATCGAGATTCGACAGTCCTTGCGACGCTCGCCGGCTGCTTCTGGGTCCGCGGATGCCTCCAGATGCCGAGCCCTCTGGCCCAGGGGGCCTCCCGAGGCCTCGAGACCTCCCGACGGAGGGCCTGCTCTTCCAACAACGCGCACGAGCGACGACACACATCCAGATCCGTGCCCTAAATGGTCTGGGCGCCGAGGCACGATCCTTACCAGCCTCGAACGTATCCCTATCCCATTCCTATCCCTAAGATGGACACGCCAAAAGGCGATGACAATCTTAGGGATTCGCCCTCAAAAAATAAGGGAATCCCTAAGCTTGGCATCGAGATGAGGAGGTGCCCAGCATAGGGATAGGGATATGTTCCAGGCTGGTAAGATCCCACGGACACGCGATCCCATGGATGCGTTCCGCGCGGGGCATCCGCGCAGGGCCCCTCTGTGTCCCTGGGATCGGGGCCCGCGAGTCCAGACTGGGAGGCCGCGGACACGGACATTCGGGGACGGAAAAGAGGGGGGTGACGACTAGGGGGGGGTGGATATCATGACGGGGGCCACGATATTTCCCCAGATCTCATGCCGCCTCTTCTTATTTCATTACGTCCCTGGCCTCCGCGCTGGGCCGCGCACATGCCGCCGGTCATGATTTGCACCCCCTCCCCTCTTGGACACCCCCCTCTTGGCCGCTCCCGAGACATGTCCTCGCTCACGAGGCCATGCAGACCAGAGGGCGGCATGCACCTGCAGCAGTGCTCTGTTGGGCGAGGCGTCGGCCGCGCCCGCGAGAGCCTTTCTCTACCATGGGTCAGCCGCCCTGGGTCCATAATTGTGGCAGCGGAGCGTAGGCGCGCCACCTGGGAAGACCTCCAGGATGAGAAGGAGGAGGAGGAGGTGGAGGAGGAGGAGGAGGCGGAGGAGGAGGAGGAGAAGGAGGAGGAGGAGCGGACGGCCCATGTCTCCGACGTCGTGTTCTTTTCGCCACGTTGGCCCCAGAGGTCTGAAAGAGCGCGCTCTGTGGACGCTCGGAAGCTGGGCCTCCCAGATGGGGTCGGAGCATAGATGGGGTCGGAGGACCGCGCCGCTTCGCCGATGCATCGCGGATGCGGCTCGATGTGGAGCTCGACTTTCTCTGCGCCGACGGCGCCGAGGCATCGTCGACGCCGCCGATGCATCGGCGATGCATCGTCGATGCATCGGCGATTCGGCGCGATCCTCCGACCCCATCTACTCCGACCCCATCTAGGAGGCCTCATGGAAGGGGGTGGGGGTTCGAACGGGGGGCCCCCCTTCCCCAGGAAGTGTCCGGTTCGGGCCGGTTCGGGCCGGTTCGGCGGCGGACCGGTTCGGTTGCAGCGGTTCGATTTCGGCGCCGGTCCGGTTTTGGTCGGTCCGGTTTTGCCAGTCCGGGTCGGATATGCCGGTTCGGTTCGGCGGTCGCGGGACGGTCCAGTTTTGGGGGGGCCGGTGTTGGGCCGGAGGAGGAGAAGGAGGAGGAGGAGTGAGGAGGAGGAGGAGTGAGGAGGAGGAGGAGTGAGGAGGAGGAGGAGGAGGAGGAGGAGGAGGAGGTTTAGGAGGTGGGCGAGGAGCGAGGTGCCAGGAGCGCGGAGCAAGGAGGCTCGCGCGCCCATCGGCTCCGCGCCCGGCGAGGTGCCTCGCTGCAGTCGTCGTCGCCGTCGTCGTCGTCGTCGTCGTCGTCGTCGATCGTCGTCGTCGTCGTCGTCGTCGCCGCCGTCGTCGTCGTCGTCGCCGCCGTCGTCGTCGTCGTCGGGCGCCCCCGGACCTCTCGGCCCCTTCCCTCATGCCGCTCTTCCCCTCGTCTCCGCGGCCCCGGGGCCGGAAAACGCGGGCCTCCGGGGGCCCGGGGAGGGCGGGGTTCGGCCGCCTGGAGCTGCTTTGCCGCCTGGAGGAGGAGGGAGAACAAAAGGAGGAGGAGGAGGAAAAAAGGAGGAGGAGGAGGAGGAGGAGGAGGAGGAGGCGGAGGAAGGAGGAAGAGGACGAGGACGAGGACCTATGACGAGGACGGGACGAGGACGAGGAGGAAGGAGGAAAGGATGAGGAGGAGGAGGAGGAGGGAGGAGGAGGAGGGAGGAGGGGGTCCTCGCCTCCCCCCCCCCGCGCCCTGCTGCACCCCCGAGGGGGGCGCTGGCACCGCGGTGGGGGGGGGGCCGGCACCGGGGAGGGGGGGGCCGGCACCGGGGGGGGGGTGCCGGCACCGGGGGGGGGGCCGGCACCGGGG